ATATATATATATATATATATATATATATATATATATATATATATATATATGGTTTATTTTGTGCGTATGCATGGCTTGACAGATCTTTGGAGCTTTACAGGCCTTTTGAGTGTGCACAGAATTTTAGTATAGATCCTACACAATATTGACAAATGGCACCCATGAACTTAAGCACATCTTCATCTTAGGTGGACTTATTCTTTGCCAAAAACATAACTGAAGGCAAGACTGCTAAAATAGCAGGCTATCACTTTGATAAAAAGGACCATGTACCTAGGAAATTCAGCTTTTTATATTCAATTTTGCACACATATCCGTCCATATTCAAATCAAAGTTGCTGTCTAGTAAGATACACATTCAAAGAGTGAAAAACAACTAAGAAAGAATAGTGTGTACAGTACAACCTGACAGGATAATATAAAAGAGTTGAATTTTGGCATAGTTCCTGAATTTACTATGCTCAACATTTAAATGTCGTGTGTATTTGTGCCATGAAAGCATCATAGAGAAATCAGTCACAAATGTGACAGGTCATGGCAAAATCCATCAGTTTGTTTTGAGTTATTTGCAGATCCTGAAAGAGTGAGGTCTAAGTTTTCCAATGATGTACAACTTGTGGAAAATGGAAAAAAAAGAATTCAAGTCGACATGACCTGTTAAATGTTGCCACTATCCAAAGAACTTCAAAGAGAAAAGGAGCTTAAAGAATTTTCGTGCCACTTTTGAAGCCATCTAGGTGATAAAAGCTGTTCATTTGAATAACTATTTTATAGCTTGCTGCACCTACGCCCAAAACCTCCCACAACAGCGTTTGTCAGCAGAGGCTCCAAAATCTACTGACTGCACTGTATTTGACAGCAGACAGCATCATTTTTTTCTAAGTAAAATATAATTTACAGCATTACATTACTTATGTGCATTTTACACTCAAACTGTCATGAGCTCAGAACTTAGGACCCAATATTCAAGATGAGACAGATGGTTGGAAAATCCAAAGGCGTTTATTTAAAAACATAACGGAACACTGAGCTGTGAAAATGCAGCGACTTGAGGGCAGCTGGGGCACTGCCTATCAGTGGCAACTCTGGTTTAGTCCATCCTCTTAGAGCGAGGCACGATCCAGCCGATGGACTGCCAACGAGATGGGGCAGACTCCGGGCAGAGTGAAACCAGATGCAGCAGCCCCAGTGATCAGGTAGAAGTCTGAGCCAGATCAGGGAAACAGTTAAGAACTGGAAGATTCTGAGATGCAGGAGTCCGCAGCCCAGTCAGGGGTTCCAATCAGAACAGGAACAGACAGATCCAGGGTTCCAGGAATCCACAGAGAGTTCAGGCAGAACATCCAGATGGGAACAGGCAAGCTCAGTGGTTGAGAGGCAAAACAAGGCATGATATCAGGAAAACACCGAGACAATACTAAAAATCTCTCTCACCACTGACCTCATAGAACAAGAAGTGGAACTTAAGTCAATAATTATCTGCAAGTCATCTCAGCAACAACGTCAATGATCTAGTCCTGATAGCTCGGACTGAGTCATTTAAATAAAGCAGCAGGAGCAGGTGGATAAGATGAGTGATAATTGGTAACAGCAAAGTTAGGCAGGTGAGTGAAATGAGCAATTAGGGAAGCTGGTGTGAAGTCCTGCATTTGACGAGGTCTAATTCCACAAAGCCAAAAAATATATAAATATATTCACCAGGTGAATATCTTAAATAAAGATGGCAGTCTTGCAGTCATTAGTCATTTACCTTGGGACCACGCATGATATGTAATTATTGCCAGGAAAATCTGTGCTTTTAATACCATGAAAATCAGCCATGATAGTAATTTCTACATTAAAAATTGGCCACTTTTTATTACTATATTTTACAGAACTAAGAGGTCCTGTAATGATAACAATCTCATGCAAAATGTGTTCCTTATCCAGCTGTGCATTTCTTGTGCATCTAACTTTTACAGTGTGGTTTTACATTATGCTCCCCTAAGTATGAAATAGAAAAATAACTTCGACAACCTTCACAAAAAGCTGTCCAAGAATCACCTTTCACACCAGGATAAAAGTGAAAATGAGGCACAGTTGAGCATAAATCAGGACATCTGGTCACAGATGGATCACATCATTGCACTGTGCTGTGAGAATTCCTTTCTTTTGTTTGTAGCCTCTTATAGAGCTGGCTAGCTCTAGCAGTAGCCCACAGCACTTAACAGGTGTTACGCAATAGGCTATGCAGTGCACTAACATCATACCCAGCACAAGAAAATGTCAGTACATTTTTGAAAATGTGATTTAAACCTGTAACTTTTGAGCCATCATGGGTCTAGAGCAACAGACACTGGAGTTGGGAAATCAAAACTTTTGCAGCTAGATGCTGAGCATCAGCTATTCAGAGTAGCTGACCCAGGAGCTGTCTAGGGACAGACATGACACGCAAGCTACGAATGCTTCTGCAGAGCTACCAGAATAAAACTATGAAAAATGAGCATATGTAAAGTTAAACTCCACTGGTTTAAAAAGCCAGAAAATATATATTTTATTTTATTGTACAAGGAAAAGAGAGTTCTCTGATCAGTATTACTCTATTAAAATATTTTCTTACTAAAATCTGGTGAAACAGTTTACAAATACCTACATTAACTCAAAATTACAAAACCTACAAGTAAATAATATTCCTTTTAATATTGTGGTACTTTTGAGTGTCCACACCATCCAGTGTCCAGACCACCCGACTTTAAAATACACAATCATCCAACTTGAGGCATTCTATACCTTTTTTGTTGCTCAAAATTTGGTTGTTATGAACACACCATAAGCTGGTATTGTTCTAATATAATGAGTAAAATAACAAAATATCTATTTCTTGAAAATCCCTACGTTCAGTGTTGAGCAAGTAAGTTTTGCTGAAGTTTGTGCATTAAAAGCCAAAAAATACATTTTAGTCAGTGTTACAAAATGACTAGACTGTAATAATCAATACAATATATCATTCAAACTGCAGCTACAATGATGGCTACTCTTTCTTCAAAAAAGGCAATAAGATCATGTTATACATATTTGTTTTCAGTGTTGCTGTCAACATTATTAATACCCGTGGTCGTTCCTCAAGTATTTTTTTTTATACCGTGACAATCTCATAATGGCAGAAACTTTCCTCATTCCTATGAACTCATCAGTGTAATGTCTTAATACAGTTCCACTAAGCTATTACACATAGACCTGCAGGCTGTTAAACACAGAGCCTAGTTAGAAGGTTAGGAAGCAAACATGCTGGTGTTTTACCCAGAAAGGTAAAGACATGTACAGGAATCATAGACTTTTCCACTCTGTGCACACAAATAAACTGATTCCCTTGAAAGTGGGTTCAGTGACCCAGACCAGATTTTTTAACCTTGCTTGAAAGCGTGTAAGCACAGTTCTGAACTTCATTTAGTTTTTTTGCAATGTTTGAAACCACACAGATGATTCTCCTAATGCAACAGGCCATGGAAGAATGTAAATATAAATCATAATTAATGAAATAAGCCATATTTTTTTTAATTTTGACATATTTTAATCAAACACTCTGCCCTGAGTCCAGGTGTAACCACTGTGTCTACTTTCTTTCAAGAAAAAACTGCGGATAAATCTGTGTCAAAATGTCAGAGAGCTTGCAAAAGAAAATGTGTTGCAACAGAAAAACACATTTTGTTCTCAGATTTTCAGCTTTTACATCTCCTCTCGTCATCACTGCTTTTGTAGTTCATCTGCTGACCTTTTTCACTTTGTTCCCAAGGGGACCTAAGAACTACTGCACATTTTCTAGAGTCCCACAAAAAGGTTGGAAAGTGCTGTATAGATTGACTGGCTTCAGCATTTAAACACTTGTCTGTTTTCAACAGGAACAGCGTTGAACTTAGAGATGAAGAAAAGTACAGCTTTAATGAAGATGGCTCAGAAATGACTATAATGGATGTTACCAAACTGGATGAAGGAGAATACACATGCATTGCCAAAAACAAGGCTGGGGAGAGTGAGAAGGAACTGAGCCTCAGAGTGTTTGGTAAGACAGCATGTTTTATATATAGGAGCACATATGGACTAGTGACAGGATAAATTGTTCCAAGTAAGTGGGAATGATACACACATACTGTATGATCATGTATGTGGGGGAAGAACAATAGTTAGGTTTGTCTGTTTTAAGTCAGACAAGAACAAGGTGCTTTGGTGTGGGCTGCAATTGTTTTATGTTGGGATAAAAGTGTAGCTTTAAAAAACAATGGAATGAGCTCAGTTGAACTATTCAGTCGAAATTTTTTTGCTTAGTTTATTTATTCATTCTCTTCTGATTTTCAGCAGATTTTTGCTGCTGCAGTTTGTTTCAAAAGCAGATAATGTGGCCTTTTTTCATCTCTTCAGAGAAACAATTATCTAATAATGATTCAAGGCAGCAGTTAAATCAGTGTTTACCTGAGTATTTCAAAGATTTCCTCTCTGTCTTTCAAAGCTTTTATTAGTGTACGCAAAGCAGCATTCAGTCATTCCTATGAGCTTTCATGCTTCGTAAGTGCAAATCATAAATGTAGATTTTCGGTCTCTGTGGATTTTTAAAACTTAAGTTCTTCAATATCAAATTTCAACTTTGATAGTGCTGATGTTTTCATACATTAAAGCAGCTCCAACATAACTATGATTATATTTACTTTTAAATGTAAATATAAAGTAGTGTTTGTTCTTTTCCTTTACAATACTGCACTGTGTTAGTCCACCACATGAAACACTGCTGAAAGACAATGAGCGTTTGTAGTTGTAACAAAAAGTAAAAAGGTTTGATGTAAATACAATTTTAAGACTTTGTTTGTTTTTGGAAATTACATTTCTGCAAACAAAGTTACTATTGTCATGATGCTTTTAAGTGATCTGACCCACATGCAGAAAACCACTCATCGAACCAAGGGAAAGTTTAACAGGTTTATTGAGGAGAATCACAGGAAGTTGAATCTGGAAATCAGAGAGCTGATAAACCGGAACTAGAAGTGAGAAGGGAAGTTCACAGCGGTTAGTTCAGTGGCCGTAGGAAACTGGATTTAGTTCTTGAATATAGAGGAAGCGGAACTCACGTTGGAGGGGGTTTCAGTCTTATCCTTGAATCCAGAAAGTGTGGGTTTATCCAGAGGAAGGGCATCTCGTTGGAGGGCGGACAGGTTGGTTTGGGTTGGACCCTGAGGAGTAATTTGAGCGGACTGCCACTTGGAATTCCGATGGAGCTTGAACGGGTCGTGTGGAGGTTTTTACCCTGCTCAGTGTGAACACAAAAGATCCTTCCAGGGGGAGAAGGCCAAACATCCAGTTTGCAGGAAGGTTTCCTGCCAAAAGGCAAAGACAAAAAACAGAGTTAATCTCAGAGAAACAAAGGCTCAGGTTAGACTCAGCTAATCTCAGTTTGGCTAGAGTACCCAAAACTGGCAAACACTCTGGCATCGAGGTAGTGGCAGTCAACGGCTTAAATACTCCTCAGTAATGAACCAACAAGCTGCAGGTGTGCAGGAGGGCCAACGAGGACAGGGCGTCACCTGGTGGTGGAGGGAGAGACAAACACAAAGCAACCCACACAAACTGGATTAGTAACAATTTTTAAAGTTAAAAATATTTTATGTAGTATTTTACTTGACAAAAAGTGCCAGTTTTGTGATTTGTGTGATTCAAACATTTACTTCAGTCATTTTTTTTTTTTTTACATTTTATTCTATGCTTAAAAGTATCTGTGATTTTAATGCTATTGATTCCTACTTCCTGCTGTATTGTATGACCATTTATGCTGCCAAACAACACAGCCCAGTTGACTAAACTTCAAGGCTTTTTTTCACAGTAAAACCCAGGATCACTTACATAGTGAACCGGACCACTTCAGAGATGGAAGAACAGGTAACTGTTACTTGTGAAGCATCTGGGGATCCAACTCCAACCATCAGCTGGAGCTACGGTGAGCAAGTTTTCGCTGAAGGAGACCAGGTAAGATCACATTTTATTCAAATGAAATCCACTAAAGTAGCCAGATCATAATTTATTAGAGAAAAATAAAACAAATCTTTATCTAGTCAGTTTCTACAGTCTTTGCTTTTGATTCTTATATTCGATTTGCTTTCGAGTGCAAACAACATGATGAAGAAATGCAAATCTCTATTTACCGGCTTAGCATGAATTGTTTTTGATGCATTATGTGGAATTGGGACACTGAGCAGAAACCACCAGGGAGGAAAACATGCAGGCAACAGGTGTTTTACGAAAAAGAATTGAATATCTATAACCTACTTTCTAATGATGTATTGATTTGCTACAGATGGGGGACATGGAAATTCATTACAGAGTGCCTTCACTAGATTTACATTGTGTTCATGCTCTGTGCATCTTTTGTAATCAGTTTTCTAAAACTCAGTCATTATAAGAGAGCACTTACTGGACGTAGAAAATATATCTATACCTCTTGAATAACACGAAATGGTGAAATATTTAGCATCATTTTAAACAAGAAAGAAAATGATAAATCATTTTAAAAAGATTTCACAAATAAAATAAAAATCTGGAGTGCTTTGCATTCGTTTTCATCTCCTTTTTTATCTGATGCCATTTAATAAAGCCACGTCAACCAATCACCCCTTGAAAATGTTTAATAAGTAGAATCCACCTGTGGGTAATATATTGTCCGTATAAATCCAGCTATTCTGTGCAGGTCTTAAAGGTTTCTTAGAAAACATTAGTGAACAACCAGCATAATAATAATTATAAAGGAGAGGTTAGGGATAATGGGGAGAAATTAAAGCAGAATTAAATTGTAACTTGATCTCCCTAACCTTAAATGTCTGACAGGACTACTGTTCTCTTTTCTCTGAAAATCGGAACAGTTTGGGAAAAAGCAAACCTACCTATATTGATAGGCCAGTAAAGGAGAACATTAATCAGGGAAGCTGCAAAGAGCTGGTTAATAACTCTAGTGGAGAGGTGGAAGGCAAGGCAATTTTATTTGTATAGCATGATTCAGTGGATGGACAATTCAAAGTGCTTTATATGAATTAGATGATAAAATGGAAGAAAAATAAAAGCAAAAAACATTTGTAAAACAAATTAATCAATTGGACCACAAAAAGCAGAAAAAAAAATAAAAATAAAAAGTCCCTGTTCAGGTGGGAGAAGCAAGTGAACTTTTAGTTATGCATTTAACAAATGTGAATTTTTCACAAGAGTTGTAAGAAGAAACCATTGTTGAACAAAACTAATTTCAAGGCAACTTGGCAAAAACCAGAAACATTCTGTCAGGCTGCTTTTTTTGAGCAGAATCAAATAGGTTAGGTGATGGGAGAAAGGTGGCAATATATACAATCTGAAAAGACAGAGGTTTTTCTTCCGACAATGTGACAAAATGTGAAAAGGTGCAAGGAGTATGAATGCTTTTGCAAGACACTTTACATTTGAGACAAAGTCCCCGCTGCAGGGCAAATTATCTCCAGAACTCAATTAGACTGATCCCAAAATAAGCATGTCAATTAAGACAATTGAACTACTTTCTTTTTTTATTTGCTACAATGAGCACTTGACAGAGCAAGTGTGTGTTTTGTTCTGTACATTCAATCACTTTTAGGGTTTTGTGCCTCTGTCAGTGATTAACATATTTTTCGATGATATTACTGAACATTTTTCGATTTATTTGGGAGAGCCAGCTTTTAATCTCCCATCACATCATGTGTTTCATTTGTAATATCTTCCACATTATTACATGGCTAAACCATCAAATACAGCGAATACCTGATGGGTATTCTCATACATCTATTGTCCACATGGCTGACTTCTCCAAGGTGCTGGTGTCTCACTGCGGTTGAGAAATAAAAAGGGGTTATATGCTGTAGGGATATGCTTCAGTTCATAGAGTAATTCTGGAGCCGGTCCATTACATACGCTACATTTTCTCCCTACAGGCACATCTAAACAGGATCTATCAGGTATGAAATCCGCGTAGCACAGAAATGTCCTGAAGTAGTGTGTAAAATATGTCTTCAGCTATAACAAAAACTCTACTGAAATCAAATCGTCCTCCTTTGTTGAAAAAAAACTCCCAGTTCCTTCTTGAAAACCCCAAAGGAATGATCTCATCAGGGTTCATAAAATTGATTTGACTGCTGCATGTTTCCCAAAATGTGGCCTGAAAAACTTCACTGATCTTGTGATAGAAAGAATAGAAAGCTTTTTTTTTTTCACAAGATCAAATTAAAATTTGTCTAATAACATACTAAAAGGGAAGACATCATTTCTGTGTTGCTTTTGCCTGATCATTTCAAACTATTCATCACAGCATGAGGTTGCCTGGTCTCAAGCCGAGCTCAGTCTGTGTCATTTTCATCATATTGTAGATTGTCTAACACAGATGTTGGTATCGCTTCAAATTTCTGGTAAAAGTTGCTCCAATTAAAGTTTGCCTTTTAAATATCAAACCTTTGCTTCTGTAGACAAATCTATAAAAAAATGATGAATAAGAAATAACATTTTTGGCTGTTTTTTTATCATGAAATCTGCTGGCTTTGTATCATGCAGTGGTAATACTGTCCATGGAAATGGGACATTTTGCAGCCACCTGTCAAGTCTGTTGGATATTTAAAAATACATACTTTGATTGGAGCCTCACTCATAAGTGCAAAACACACTTCCACCATATGACGCACATCACGACTTGTTTTTTTTTTTTCTTTGCAAAACTACACATACTCTGTAGCGAGGTACACCGCCACACATGGATGCACTGCTGAGTAACAGCTTATACCTCAATCCTGTTTTCCAGTGTGAGTCTCCCATGAGAAGCATGTGTACAGAACACATCTCCCAGCTGGTGTATCTCTACTTACTCTGCCGTCATTGCTACTTTGGCTTAGATTTCTTTCACCTTGAAGCAATCGATAATCGATGAAGTCATAACAAAGCTCAGATTAAAGGTTCATATCATAAAAGGCATTGTTTGGAAAGCTATGACAATGGCTTGACTTTTACTTTCGCAGTTGCAGAGGTGAGCAACTCACAAACACATACAGTTTTTTTGTACTTGACAAAAAAATGGAAACATACAACATGATTTGCCCATTAGTTTTGCATGATGCATCTGCTGTGCTGAACTGTCACATGGCACATCAGATGATTGCCAGCTGTGCAGTGGTGGCAGTGTGATTTGCACTGTTGAGTTCAGTATGCTTGGTCTATCTGTGGCATCTCTTCACAGCTGTCTTAAAAAATGATTAGCAGCCTTATTGAATTGCATTTATAGAGATCGCTTAGACTCTTTGTAGTTCTGATTAAGAAAAAAAAAACATTTCTGTGGCGGGCTTTTATCTGTCGGCTGCTAATTGTTTAGCTGTCCTGTTCAGTTTGTCTATCTGATGTTCGTCCGACACGTTGTCCATGACAACCACAACAGCTGCATTTCATCTGGTATCGGTGCGACAAATGTTCCAAATTTTGTGTGGGGTGAAGATGATGAAGTGTCAGGAAGCATGTTTTCATTAACATATTGAGGTGAGATTTTCGTTTTGGTCAGAGAACAAGCACAGATCCGTTCTGTCTTTTCAGATGTGTGATGCTGATTAATAACCAGAATTAATTAGCAGTTAATTTGAAAGTGTTTTCAGTTATTTAGCTCTCTAACTGTTCAGATGCTGTCAATTCCAATATCATTAGAATTCTGATCTAGAGTTGCTTGGAAAACAAATTACAGTGTGATTACTGATTATTAGTGAACAATTTTATACTTTTCTGATGCAATATTTGGATATGGAATCTAGTTTTTCATAGAGCGAATGCTGCACATTGTTTTAGTTCTTATATTGATATTTAAACACATTTATTTCATAATGATCAAGTATAAAGTGCTGTTGTTTGCAGGGAGGACACTCACAGCTTTAAGTATGTTTGCATTTAGTGATTTGCCAGTAGTTTTTCAACTATGTTTTTAACTTTGTTTAAAAAATACGATCAATTATAGTGTCCACAGAAATTATTTAAAACAACCATAATTTTACTGCAATAGCAAAGCAAGTATTATTTTTGACAACTCCAAAAGTTTCACAACTCCAAAAGAACAGAGATTACTGTATTTATTATAATGTTTTTATACATAATCTGTAATTTTTCTTTCTTAGACTGAAGAAAAGATATTAAATAAGCAGCGACTAAAATAATTGGCAGTTTTCAGTGCTGTTTAATAAGTTGGGCTGCCTGCTACTTGTGAGGGCTTATAGTCAGCTGTATAACAGAGAGGCTTTTCATGAGAGTGGTGGGTGGGGTGGTTTTAGTTGCTGTGCAGTGATTTTCCTTTTTTCTAATGTCAAATGATTTTAAAGACTGAAATTTTCTCTTTTTCAGTGAAGAGGAAGTACATGAGAAATAGGAACCACTTTGTAAAATCGGGATCTAATTAGTTCAAAATTTACCCCAGAAAATTGGCTAAGACCTGTAGGACATATCTATAGGTAGCCCACCAATGGCCCACCATGTTTTAGTTAAAATGTATATATAATAATTACGTGTTATTTAATACATCTGTGACAATAGTTCAAAACCAATGATCTGTAATAAAAATAAAAAAAAACAAATTCTTAAAATACTGCTTAAAATAACAGAAAAAATGTTAATAAATATGGATTGTTTGCTCTTAAGTTAATCCTTAAGTAATCAGCCAGCAAATCCTAAATTAAGCAGTGTATTACTGGTCACATTTTAAGTTAGAATAAGTTATTATTAATAAAGTGCAAACAAGGAATCAACAAACTGTTTACTTACTATAAGTATTTTTAACTGAATCATACAGATTCATTCATTTCAAAGCTATTTTTTATTATCTTTAACGATATTCACCATAGTTATTTTTATCTCACTTTTTCAGGTTTAAGTACAGTTATAATCAGCTGCACTTTAAATAAATGTAAAAATTATATTAAAAGCTGCTTTTATTATAATGGTTGAATTCACTGAGTGAGTCATTTTTTAATTGATTTCTAAAGCAGAGAATGAAGTCATGTAAGCATTGTGTACAGCATTTGGCCTCAATATAAATTATTGGGGCACAATGGTATAAAAGACTGTTTTAGTCCATAAATGTTATTTTCTAACCATAATGCTGCCCACACAATACTCATAGGACAGCAATCCCATGGGGAGCAGGCCACTGAAGCTCTTTGCCGTATAAGATGGCTGTTCAGCCTCTAATGGAAGGTTTTATGTAAGAAGAAACTTTTATTTAAAATATGCACCAGCTGCATGGATAATTACAGCCTTAGGGGGTTGTGAAGTAAATCATATGTAATATAGCCAAGATTCACAATAACACATACTGGCTTAAAAATATATCTCTTTTTCTGCAATTAATTTACATTATGTATGAGTTTCACTTTCTTAAACAATAATTGATAGATGTTCTAGTTCATCGAAATGCACCTGTTGCTGTTGTCAAGGCAAGCATTTCCTTATATCAGGTTTAGGTTTGAAATGTTTTCTTTTTTTATTAATTTACCCACAATTTTCTTCCAAGTGTAAATAATATTAACAAATTTTATAAAGCCTCAAATTAAACCAAATAGTCTTTCGAGGGAACAGGAGATTAGGGGCGAAGACACCGAAGATGGAGCTAAATTACCAAAGGAAACAAGCAAAAAGCTTCTCAGCAATTATAATGAAGGTTTGACGACCATGATGTTTAGAATCGTGTTCAGTTTTTTGTTTTATTATTGCTTAGTGAGAACGATCTGAACATGACATGCTGCCTTAAAAAAAAAGTTCAGTTCAATTTACAACCAATTAACACATCATCTGAAGGAACTTTGCAGAGACAGCTCAAAAACACCCTACATTAAGAATCATTGATTTATTTCAACATAAATAAAAACACATTTAATTTATCATTTTTGAGAAATGTCTGTTTGGTTTCCCAAACAAACCTCTTGGTTGAATATAAATAACTTTTAAATTCATTCTGACAGGGGTATCAATTACTTTTGGCTTAACTCTTTATATATCCCGTGAAGACATAGTTTAGTTTATTGATAAAACATTTTGTAAATAGAAAAAGGGACTTACTTTAGTTGCCTTTGTTACGTCTTTAAGGAAGTGCCTTACATTTACTTACAAAGTAAGTTTGGCATATAAAAACCTAATCTGTCTTCATTTAAAGTCATCCTGTTCTGCTGGGATTTCAACATAAGGAGAAATCAGAAGGCTCTTAGTAACCAGCTTAGGCTGTAGGTCGACAAAAGCATTGTCCTGTAACAATTTCAGAAGCAGCACAGCGTGAGGATGGAGGATTACTGTTCTGTTCACTGAGTAAATGACAGCATATAAAGGACAGCAAATGTAGACTAGTGGGATTTAACCAGCTTAGTTACATTTCAGAGTTCAGTCAGTGGTATCTGAGGATAGGCTTGTTTCTGTTTATGCAGCTATCAAAGCTACGTGGTTATATTTTTGTTTTTAAACTTTCATCAACTTCACACGCAGCTTTTGGTTCTCTTAGTCCTTTGAAAGCTTTTGCTGCAAGTCGTTTTAGATAAGTATGCCTCTTTAATAACTGAAAATGTAAATGAAGTATTTATTCCCGCTTTGTACATTATCTACATAATGAATGTTTGGCTTATTGGAATACATATTAAACATTTTCCATTACGCTGTTTTTGTTGTTTTTTGGTTTTAGCTGTATTAATATTTTCTGAGTTATAGAGCAGAAAGATGCAGGGAAACTGTAAAAAATGTAATAGTTACCGGTGCATTTGGTTGGAACTGTTTTTTGCAAAATATTAAACTCAGTCATATGATATTAATGATAATTATTAACATATAATATCAATGTTTAAGAGAGTTGGACAAACTTATGGGGACATTGAGCAGTAGTAAAATGTAAAAAGAAATGTCTATGTAATGCTGTTTGACAGTGACACAGGCAGGGCAGTTGCAGCGTATGGTTGCACTGCTAATGCTCCTCATTATTAACACGCCTGCTCTGTAATGTAAGGATGTCTGCAGCTCGTTTAGTCCTGAAGCAATAGAAATGTTTTGAGGCTCAGCAGATAGTGACTTAGGACAATGGCAGAATGCGTAATCAGACGACTTAGTCCTGCATCGTCCAGATAATAAAACACCGTCAGTGTTTTTTTAACATGTTTAGATTATTTGCACAAGTACCTCTTTTTCTTTGCTTTTTCCATTCTCTTGTTCACACTGACATTACAGTTTAAGTCAGAACTGAAGGAGGATTATTGTCTGTGGAAGAGAAAATTACAATTGGCTGGAAAAATTGAGAACTCTCTCATGGGTGCCAGCAGCACATTGTTCTTGTTGTTTGGTCTGAGATGCGACTGTGGCAGGTGAAGTTGTTCATGGTCCTTTTTTGTCTCAGATAAACACCTGTCACAGATATGACAGCAGTGCTCATCAGCTCCCTTAGTGCAGAGGGAGCGCTGCGTACGACAATGGAGCGCTGATGTACCACACTGTTAGATTGCTTGTTTTAATTGGGCTCCCGTTCCTTCATAAGATGATATGCAGCCACTGCAGTGCCTAATGATGAACAGTCAGCTTTGCATAAAACTCGGCTGATAATTATTTACTATTTTTTCCAATCTTGGCACTGAGAAAGGATCCCGATTGTCAAGGATATTAGGGAATTTGCTAATGTAAAGAGAGTTGAATTTAAATATGCCATAAATGGTTTAAAAGCATTCTGCTCAGGCAGTAAAGATGATGCAGAAGTGCTTTTTAGATGTGAATATTGATGGTTTGATTCACTGTTTTGCCCCATTATTTTTCCTGTAGATTTCTTCCATTTACTCTTATATTTTCTTGCTGCTGTGCCTGATGAAATAGCTGTTTATCACTCTGCTAGTTGCATTTAAATAATGTGTTTTTTCCAGCTTTGTAGGCCATAACATCTCATTGACATGCTTAACATTTTCTCATCAGCATCAAAACAGCATGCTGTCCAAAAAGGTGTCGGTCTTGTGGTGTTTTTCAATGTTGTCTGATTTTATTTGGATGTTTTGTACATATTTCTTTAAAAATCTGTACTGTCAAGAGACCTGTTCTACTATGATATATTAAAAAAATGGCTGTCCATTAGAAAGTAGGATAATGCTGATTATCTTTGATTTATTTTAAAGAATGCTTCTAGATTGTAGTTCTATATGTGCCATTATATTAACATAGATATATAAGATACAAATGTATGACATTACCCATTTGGTCTAATCTAAAACATAAATGTGCAATTATTCATACAGCTGCAAAACAATCGTATATTATTAGTTATAATGCTGTTCTTTATGCAGTGCTCTGCAGTGCATATTGGTTGCACATGTGACCTTATTTTGTTTCTTGGGACCAATATTTCAAGTCTTTTCCAGAACAAAGTTATGATCTCTTTTTTTTTTTACCTCTGTGAAACACACAACATCATAGAACACATTAGTTTTCAATCTCCACCTGGCAACTCTGCTAGATCAGCCTGCATTAATTACTAATCAATTACCTTATAGGTGGATGCATTCAGTTTTAAAAATAGACTGTTGGTTACACTGACGACCTTGCCATTTTTATTTGTCTACTAACACAGTTGTCATCTAAAAATTACTAACAAGCTTTTTTTTTGTTTTTTGTGAGGCATCTAAAGGTTGTTTATATAATTTTAGAAGCATCTTCGATCACACCCTGACAAAAAGAGAATAAAAAGGTCATCTTCACTTTGTAAAAATGTTTAAGTCGATAAAATATCTTACAGGACCTTGTAAAAAAAAAAACACAGTGGTCTCAATCATTAGTGTGATGTATACTCCTGTTTCCATCATTAACTCCTTAATTAGAGATTTTGTTCATTTATTAATCAAAAGAACTTTGTTTTATTATATTTATTGCAGAAAAACTTCTGTTGACACGATTAAACAACAACTACATTTCATTTTAAAGAACGTGTACAAAAACCTTAGCAGCATTTTTAAAGGCATTTTCAGGAATGCTAAATGATAAGATCTTCTATAGCAGCAGTCATATTTCATTTTTAATTGTGTCATTTACTAACATTAAGTGATATTTTTTTAACTTAAAGACCTGAAACACAGAACCACAATCCTTTTCTTGTAAGGTGAATAAGGATTTTTGTCAGACGAAAGAAATGCCACTTTCAGAACTCGTACAAGCAAAGATTTATTTCCTTGAAGAGCTCCAACAAAAATTGCCTTTCTCAACCAGTCATCGCTTATTGAAAAGCCCAGAAGTGTTGTTCAGTGACTTAAATGACAAGTCTGCTAACCAGTGTGCCTTGGCGCAGAGAGGCTTTTTTATCAAATAAAGACAGCAGGACTAGAGTAAAATGGATTGTGAGTCGATAATTGCTGTATCTCCTTTACCAAGGAATTCTGGCCTATCTTTGTTGTTGCAGTGTAATTGAATCACATCCTTTGATAAACTAGGAACCCTCTTCTTTGGAAGAATTTATGCTTTCGTGATGGCAGTAGATTTTCCTTATTTTGGTGTGCAGTTTAGAAAAAAAAAAAAAAAAAAAAAGAAATCTATACTTAAAAGGTTTCTTAAAGCCAAATCAAGCTTTCTCTGAAAAATAAAAAAAACTTCCCTAAAGCATCAACAGGCATTATGAATCAGAAACTCAGACTTGGCACTTTGGATGCAAGGTAAATAATCTGGTCCTCTAATACTTGCATGCAATGTGCAGCATCCCATTCTTGAGAAGAAGAGGATTACTTTCTAAGAATTGCTTTGCCTTCTGTCTGTTGTTTCTCTGTCCTCTGCAGGCATCATGGACTCGGCCTGAGCAGCACAAGGTATTCTAAATGCATGGCTTTTTCCTCCACCCATCCATCATTCATGTCAGGAAAAGTCTAATTCAATTCCGAATGGATGCAGATCAAAATTCTTGATCAAATGAGGGTCAGCGAAAGAACATAATGCTGAGAATGATGCAGTCGAAAAATAGGCTTTTGGAATTCTCTCATTTTTGGGTTTATTTCTGCTTTGGCCTGAACAGTTTTAGTCCCTCAGTGCTTTCCAAAAGCATTGATACGCCTTCGGTTCTGACAAATTTTCTGTTTTCTTGCAACCATAAACCTATATATATATATATATATATATATATATATATATATATATATATATATATATATATATATATATATTATAAAGCCAAAAGACAACCCTGCGAGTTATGTTGCTACAAGTCCTGTGTCAAATTTTTGACCTAGGATAAAAACCAATCCTTCTTGTTACCCCGAAAACATCATCCCCCCTTAAACAGTGTTGGCAGCATTCTGCTGTGGTTTTGTTTTTGATGGAATGAAACATTATTAGTAGTAACTGTTTAAATGTTACCCTGTTTCCATGATTGGTCCTTGACACGTCCTTCGCTAGTAACCGACAGGTCTGTGGGGGTAATGTGCTCCACTACTTCCGGGTGCTAACTTTTTTTGGCTTTGGATTTAAACATAAATCTTGTCTTTTTGATTTTGTTTCCATTTCATTTTAATATTATGGTATATAGTGCATAACCCAAAGAAAGAAACGACAAAAGTGCAAATAAATTTTGCTGGACTGCTCTAAGAATGTCTGATGATGATGCAGTAGTTTAATGGGAAAATGTAAAAAGCATCAAAATTGTCTCAAAAAATCATAAAACATTTTTAAACGTGTTATCAGCGTTCTTTAGTGAGTTAAGGATAGAAAAAGTAATTTTAGTATCATAATTACATTATTTATGGAAACCCAGATTTATATCTGGTTGCGCATGCACAAATGAGCTGATGGTACGGATTGTGCTTCCAGGACGAATTAGGTAGCAACACCACTCAAGGGGCTGGAATTGGGCGGAAATTTGGCTGGAAACCGGAGGCCAATCAGCTACTTTTCAGCCATTAGGGGAACTTATAAACTGTTACTACTGTATATATTAAAAACCTAAACATTTTAATGTTATTGTTATTTAGGGTGGTCTGTCTTACCAAATAGAATTAAAAGGCAATGAGGTTTTGTCTGAAAGATTAAAAAAAATGTGTAAAAGTTGAAGGAATGTGAAAACTCTTTTTAGTGTTTTTCCTGGAACTCATCCTAATCAAACATCGTCGATACAATTTCCTTCAGGTATATTTGATTAATCCAATGCTGAATGTAAAGAGCTTTATACAGTAGTATATCTTCTTTTAAATCTTTTTTCTTTCATGCATATCTTTAACTACTACTGTTCTCTATCAACTTTATATTACATCTTTGAAAATTATTATTGACATCCATATGTGCTATTGATTATAACTGATTCTTTGATTTTAAAAAGTTGAAATATCTCTGTTCAGTAGAATAGTATCAGAATAAGGTGCTTGCAGAAAGGAAATGTGAAAATTAGCTAAAGAAAGGACCAGAGCACTAAAGCTTTTCTCCAAATTAGTTTAATATTGAATTTGTTCTCCATACACGAGAAAATTGGTGGGAATATATCTTGCATCTATACGCAACATGGAGTGAGACAAGGAGATCTTATTCCATTACATTTTTTGTTACAAGGTGATCTTGCAAATTGTGTCTCTGATCCTCTGCTTTTTGTGGAGAAACTGTACTTCAAGTAAATCAATGCTGTTCTCTCAGGTCACTGTGTGTCCTGAAATAGCCTTGCTATTTTAGTATTGAAGGTGTTCTAAACAAATATAATCTAACAGTGCTGGAAAATACTGCATTTTAGTGCTCAAAGTTTCCAAATGAAGTTGGTATTTTATCAGGTCAAATCACTATTTGATACATTGATCAGATGAGATTTTTTAAATCTCCAGATATCTACAATAACTACCAAAACTAATGAGAGGCTCCTTCTTGAAACCTGAAAATGTTTGCATTAAAAATAAAAAGTTATGCATGAATAATTATTTCAAGTAAAAAAAAAAAAAAGAAGAAGAAGAATGACTCATTCTTGCCATCTGGATTTATTTCATGATGATTCTTCTGTAAATAAAAAAAATAAAGCCATTATATAAGAATTTAGTTTTGGCTTTAAGATGTATAATCTCTGCTAGACGCAAATGCAGATTCACTACAGATTCCACAAGGCTTCTTGATATATATTTCTACATTAAGTGTATTTCAGTGAAATCCGGGCTTGCAAATGACTTTTCCAGTAGGGTATTTGAAGCACATGTGGTTTCTGGTCATGAGCTCTCTGGATTTCATTAATGGATGAGGCAATAATAATTTTCACTTTCTGACATAATGATATGCTTTTTCAGTTCACCTGCGCTCTGAGTTGATCAGTGTGTGTCTCTCTGCATGACATCCAATTACAAATCACACGGGAGGGAGAGCGGAGCACTGGGAGAATACTGAGTGTGTTCGTTTAATAAGCTGTGCGGTGGAAGGTCCATTTGTATGCGGGACTATTTTATATTTGATGAGACATGAGTTTTAACTTGTCCGGCGTGTAGTGTCAAATAGATGTTTTGAGGTTGCTCAGAATTGTCTTTCATTTTGAGACAAATTTCTCGAAATGCTCAGTCAGTTTAGCTTTATTAGTGATGTGTGCTCAAAATCTTGTGTTTTATTTTACCTACTGTCTTAGAGCAGCATTTCACTTTGTCATTAAAAACTACATCTTTAGCTTTTTAGAATTCCTATATCCAGAGAAAACATAAAGAAAACTTTCACTTTGGTTTATTTTCTTCATTTAAAAAAGTGAAACATACTGTATGCCATAAGATATATTATACACAATTATCTACTTTATAGTTAGTTTTGAATAATTTGACCTACAGCTAAAAGAATATTAGAAAGTGGCATAACTTTTTTTTCCTCAGTTAAAAGATTGCTGTCACACCTTGAGGATTTGTCAGTTATGTCTGGTTGCACTTGCCCAAAAGAGCTGAACGGATTGTGCTTCTGGGACAGATTGGGTAGCGACACACCACTCAAGGGGCTGGAATTTGGAGGAAAGTTGGCTGGAAACCGGTAGCCATTCAGCACATGAAAAATCAGGCAAAAACGCTGACATACGTTGGATAAGTTATGGGTCAGTTTTGTATAAAGTATGCTCATACGTGAGCCATAAGTTACAAGTACGTCATTTGATCGTAGACATACGTTGAGTGTAAGTTATTCATAAGTCGTGGGATCTAGCTTATAGAAAACTTATGAGTAACTTTTGCATAACTTATGAGTAACTTATCAAGAATTTATCTCCAACACAAATCAAAGTATTTGAGGTGTTCCAGATGACCGCTGAGCGGTTTTCTTATTTACAGCTATTGTATAATGACGTATTGGCAGCATTTTGGTATGAACGGGGGAGGAAATGGTCCGTACTCCTCCAGACTTCATCCGCATTAAAGGGTGAGCGTGAAGGTGAGCGTGATGGATCCTCCCTGCGTTCACTCCCCCAACCAACAAACTTCAACTGCAAACCTTCTTTCTTTTTTTTTTTTCCTTTTATTTATTCTTTCTTTTTTGGGGGGCAGTAAACAGCAGCTAGGTTAATACTGCGATCAAATAAGTCTTTTTATTCAGACCGGGCACCTCTGGGTGCATTGCTGCCGTCCTCAGGACACTGGCTTGTGACATTTCATGGGCATTACTCTTCCGTGGGTTATGCTTAAGTTAGGCTGTGGTTGGACATAAGTTCTGGACTCGTTATGAATACTCTGTATACGCCCTTAATTGATAAAATACATAGAAAGTTCATCGTAAGCCAGCGTTCTAGAAGATTCTGGGACGTCAGACATACGCTGGCTAAATTGTCAAGGTGTGACAGGGGCTTAATACCCCAGAAATTTCATACAAGAACATGTCTGAAAAGCAGCTTGTCAATTGTTTTGTTTGGCCCTTAATCTCTATTTAAAAATGGCCCAAATCCTGCTGCCCAGTGCTGGCAACAGCTGCACCAGACATCTAGCAAACAAAGTTTGAGTCAACTATGCTAAAAAGAGCAAATGTTTGCAAAGAGTGACCCACATACCCTCCAGTAAAGATGAGAAGAAATACAACTTTCTTTTTATGTTTTCTATCTTAAATGAGGTACATATTCATCCCCGGACAGCTGTGGACATGTGGCCTGCTTACTTTGTTGATTAGAAGTTCACAAGTAAAAAAGAAAATACCATCAAAGCTGACCTTGTGTTATCAAATGTAAGAAAAAGGGAAGCCAGTCAGTTTAGACCAACACAAATATTCTGCTTCATGATTCTGGCCCAGATGGCAAAAAGTTTTAAAAAATCACTGTCAGGTAACCTAGGTCAGGTAGGCAAATGAAGCATTCAATACCACCGTCATATAACCTGATGTTTGTACATTGGGCACTGCTAGCAGGGGGGACATTTTGATGGAGATTAAATTAAACTTGATCTTCATAACACTTATTAGCAGAAGAAAATATGAAACGTAACATTTCCTGATAAATAGCTGCACTGAAGTTAGACCTGATCATACACAGTGGAACAACAACAGCAGATGAAGACTCCCCAAATCATGAATGAAAGAACATTCTGTACCAGACCTCAGGCAACTTGGATTCTAACTCCCTCCATTTTCAGCTAAATGGTGGGAACTAAATTTACCAAATAAATGTATAATTGACATTCATATGAAGTAAGTGTTAAGGCCATTGCAACAGACACATAATTAGCCGACCTTAAATTGCAGTCCATACCATGTGAATCTCCCCAAACTGTGGATTTATACGACCTTATGCTCGACAATTTCCTTATGTAGACCATTACATAACATTTTTGTGTAAATCTTTTTGCACATTCTTGCTGGATTTTCAATTACTGGAAGATAACGTATGACAATTAACATAACTGCTTCAAATACATTTTACTGTGTTTAAGATTCAGCATACAGTGAGTTTTATTTTATTTTTTTAACAAATTGCTTAATGGAATAGCTTTTTAATTATATATACATTATATAGTATATATACACACCGTTTTACTAAAATACTTATGTATACTTATAATACTTATTTAGGGGTTTTTTTGCACTTAAAGGAATTCTATCAGATGAGAAAGCCTTCATACATTGTGGCTTTTTTTAACTACTGTTGGCCCTAATGCCTATATGCAGTGGCATGTTGCATAAATGCAGCGTTTGAAAACAGCACCACAGGGGTCGACGGAGATAGCTATCTGCACAGGGGTCAGAAAAAAGGGTAGTGTGTGTTATGTAAGTGTCCCTCTGCTCTCGCTACCCGCTATGCATAATAAATGCCCCAGACATGCTTTGTGTGTATAATTTGAATACAAACTAACACTGTTTCTTTTAAATGCCTTCCCAGGCAGGGCCCTAATTCACTCTGTGTTAAAGCATTCAGCCATTGTTTTCTTTTCAATTTGGATCAAAGCCATAAAGCCATAAGAGACACTCAGATACTCTGTTCTAGCACCTTGGTGAGGGAACAAAGGCACAGGAAATTGTATAGAATACAAAAGTAAGATGTTCATGAAGAAAATTGGAACATCGTACAGATGTCTTTTATTTGGCTTTGGTGTGTTTGGATTTGATTATATCTAGGATATCATCTGGTTGTGAGATGTTTCAATTTGTTTGATTTTTTTTTTAAATAAAAAGTAGCTCTTGGAAAGCAGAAACCACACACAGCCTGTTTTAGTCTAAGTGATAAAAACTGAATCTGTTGGCTGGAATGCAGCATGTGATGCAGCTGCACAGATCAAGTTCTTCCTACCAGGTTTTCTGGGGAATGGAGTTCACAATTAAGCATCTCATCAGGACACTTTCTGCGCTGCCTATCATGGTATTGGATTTCTGCGTGTCTTGATGTCATCTCTTCATCACTGAAGCAGGAATAAGTGCTGGAAAAAAATATACAACTAAAATGTCACAAATGATGTAAGCAGTGGGGAAGCAAGTAACTGGCGGAGACAGAGATGATGCAAAAACACCAGTCAGCTGGTGTAGAAATGCAAGCGTGGGACATCCTGTCTGCAGCTGTGCATCAGCATATTTCACAAGTTTGTAAAGCTGCCATGTGAAAAGCTCTAGATGGTCCTAATGCTGTCTTCCATCAATTATTTATCAGCTCCCCTACCTTGTCATCTGCATCCCTGTGTTTCAATGTCTCTCTACTGAGCTGTTCACCTCTTTTGTTGAAGTCCATTCTTTTTATTAAAGGCTGGCTTACTTTTCTTTCTTCTTTCAGGTTAAAATCATCTTTTTGCAAAATAGTTTAATGTGACGATGCTGTAATACCATGAATGAACTGATATGTTTCCTTTTACACCAAACTTTTTTTTTCTGGCACTATTTAGAGCCCAGATGGAAATGTGGTTGTAAGGAGTGATGCTCGTGTATCCTCCCTCACTCTGAAGTATGTCAAGTATACAGATGCTGGTCAGTATCTCTGCACAGCACGCAGCGCCATTGGAGAGGATGAACAAATTGCTTATCTGGAGGTCCGCTGTAAGTATTTCCTAGTTTTTTAGCAATCTGATAAATATTTACAGTGGGGAAAATTATGTTTAGGTGTACTTACAGTCACAATGAGCATTAATGTAGTAGATTATTTGGGTGTTTATTTATTGTTTTGATTAAAAATTCTAATAAGAAAGTGACATCCCCTTGGGGAGCCAACTACTTCCCAAGGGAATTGGTTAAATGCAGAGGTAAATGTCTCCATTGTGAGATCAATTAAGTTAAATTATTATTGTCTTTTTTTAATATAGGTTTGAAAGCCTTACTTCCACTTCTTGAATCACAAATTTGGGATATTTTAAATAGATTAACCAGTCTGTATCTTCCTTGAACATATAACCTTTCTTTTGGAGATGTTTCTGCTATCCATTGAAGCAGCGGCAAACTTTAATAGTAGTAGATGGTTAACTTTGTGTAGAAGCTTCTTAAGGTTGTTTTCTAAAATAGTTGGTCCCTCTTAGTTATTACTTAGAATGTTTGCTGAGATATGTAGGTACATGATTTCATTTCATTTAATTTGTAAAAATTAGTAAAGTAGTTTTTGCTTTATAATCAGTATTATATGTTAGACTGTTGGACGATCATCAGTACTTTTGACTGAGACGGGTAATCATGGTAAGAAAAATGCCCAAAGTAAACTGACTTAGTCACTGTATCCTCCAACAGTGAAACAGGCTGTCTTCATTTAGTGCTCTTGCCCTGATAGGAATACCTTTTTTAGCGACATTAACAGCAAGGCCATTGTTTTAGCACAGATTTGTACAATTTGTCCTATGAAATTATAGGTGTTATAACTGTTTATGTTTTGTTCAGTCCCTTTATCTTGCATCACCTTAAAAAGCTAAAGATTTGCCAACAAATCTTGACTGCCAGCAGTTGATCAATCTACCAATTTGAAACATTTCAGTCCCTAGTGCATGTGCGTGATGGATTCTTACTCTTTGGATTACTGAATATAAAACCTTTAATACATTGAATCATTTGTCTATATCACCTTAAAGAATTTACATTAACATCTTATCATCTTATCTTATTAATATAAGTTAAAAGATATTTTTTATCTGTTTTCTCAAACACGTTTTGCACTCCTAGATACGCCTAAGATCCATGGAACAGTCGCAGTTTACACCTGGGAGGGAAATCCGGTCAATATCAGCTGTGAGGTCAAGGCTTTTCCCACTGATGTGTCAATTGTTTGGCTGAGAGATGGACTGCAGCTCCCAAACTCAAACACAACCAATATCAAGATCTTCAGAACTCCTTCATCCAGCTACCTACAGGTAAACTGACTTTAAAGAGCATTTGGCAACGTAAAGTAAACATACATAATGCATAGACAATGTTCTTCCATGTGCACAGACAAATCCCAGACCCCCCACCACCTTGTGTCATCAAGATTTCATGAGCACAAGTTGGAGTGAGGGGGGTTTCTTTCAGCCTCATTGTGAAAAAAAACATGAATAATTCAGCAGCATAAAGGCTCACAGCAGCACATACAGTAGAAATCTTTAGGTTACTCTAACGGACAAACACAAAGGTCACCTTCATAAGGTTTGACACATATGTTGGTTCGTGAGTTTTGCCTTCATACTGTATGTTTACTCTTCTATTTTTCTCCACCCTTCAGATTACTCCTGAGTCTGAAAATGATTTTGGAAGCTATAACTGCACCGCCTCCAATGAGATGGGCACCGAGTCCAAGGAGTTCCTGCTCATTCAGGCTGGTCAGTGATAAGGCTGTGGTTTAAACCTCACAACAGCATTAGACCATAACATTTAAATATATGATATATACAAGTCAGTACAGTATGTTACAAAAGCATTTTATTGCAAATTATGGTAAGAGCTCTAAGACATGTATTTATCTTTGTAATAGCAGTAAACCTAATTAAAACCAAGTAGTGAATTAGATATTGGTTTGTTCTGGGCTGTGAAACAGATTCTAAACTCTTTGTATTAGAATGTTTGTCCGTGACATTCACCATGAGACAAAAAGCAGCTCTGTTTGTTTAGATGGAAGATAAATTTAGATAAAAGACATTAGATCATCTATCAGCATTGCTTATCTCTTTCTTGCATCAAAGACGTTTGTGCAGTGTCGTTTTGTACTGTTCATCTGCAGAAATTCGCTGAATGCTTTGTTAGAAAAAGGGCAGTTTAATTACGTCGCACGGTGAGATGAGTGTATTTTTCTCCTTAAGACAAGAGGGAGAGAGAAAATGCCAATTTTAAGCCACCGTCTGAAATGAACAGCTTGGGGAAAAAGAAAAAAAAAAAGCATTTTTCACTTTAGGCAGAAACCTGTGGAAGCGCAGTAATTACAGTGTTCCTTTTTACCTCCCAGATCAAAGTGATGCACAACAGAATGGGGCTCACGTCAGAGTCTTGGAATCCTACAAAGCCAGCAGAACTCGGATATTACTGTTTTAATTAGTTAAACAGTTTTAATAATATAATTTTCTCTGTAATGGATGGAGAAGTGGGTGGGGAGCAATAACTTTTTTTGCTGGTAATTTTAACAAAGCAGAATTGTAATTTAAACCCTATTTCCTGCTACGAACAGTATGTACCTCATATCTCAGATAGCTCCTTTTCCCATAAAGGCTAAAATTAATATTTGTATATTACTGAACACTCGCTGTTTATAGTTGAATATTTTCATGTTTTGGAAACACTGAGTAATCTGTGACTTACTGATGGGGGATTAATGTAACTACAATCTTAGTTTAGGCTCCCAAGGGCTATTTATTAAGACTGTTAAAAGCCTGCTTAATTTTTTGTGACTTTGTTTTATATTTAACATCAAGAGAGGTGTATTTTTATTTTATTATAATTTTTTTTTTCATGCTTCTCCGGAGCTTTTTTCCTGGATTTCCACCCTTACCTTTACTACCCATTCTACCCTTTACTGTATGTCCATTGTTTCTGCTTCAAACAGAAAAATAAAACCATCTGATTTTGGATAACAGAGATTAAAATAGGGTACAGGGTTTTAAACTTATAAATCATTAAGTTAGTCACTTCTACAAACAGTATATCGTATTTAAATGCCTTGTGGTTCTTTTAAAGATGGGGTGAAACCATTAAAGCATTTTTTTTCCTGTCTTAAATTACCATCAATACTAGGTTCTTAAGATATTCAGATACTAACTATTTAAAAAAAACAAAACAAACAAACCCAGAAGTGTGATGTCACTCCGGGCAATTGGCTAGCCAAAATGGCGGATACACGCATTGAAACAGATAGAGACAACTAAGAAAATACTTATGAATCTTCATCAAGAGAGCATATTTCAAAGGATGATGAACAGAATCCAGTCGATCAACAGGTCCTGCAACACCAGCTTCATATGTTTTAGCTAAACATTCTCAGAAGAGGAGAATGAAGGGTAAGATGGAGCAGAGGATGAAGAGCAGATGAAAATGAGATGATGACTGGACATAGACAGACTTTCACTGTGGTAGGCATTAGAACCGCATTGACTCGGTTAAGCTTTTAAACCCAATGGGCCTGGATACTGCTGACATGTGGACATATGGAGCATGTTTTAACCAGGGCTGCTCAGTGTTAAAGTGGGTAGCACTGCTGCCTTGCAGCAAGAAGGTTCCGGGGTCGATTCCCGGCCCGGGGTCTTTTTACATGGAGTATGCTTGTTCTCCATGAGCATGCAGGCAGTGAGAGGTGATTATCAATGAGCGATCTGAAAAGTTTTTCAAATAGAGGTGAGAGTGATAAGCTGTGCATTCCTGTAATATCCTTGAATATTCTGTATTTTTGAGTCTCAAAGAGGATCTACTTTGTTGCTTTTCTATCCTTCTAAACTCTATATTCTAACCAATTTTAGGTAAGGTATTCTGTTTATTGAAAAGTGTTATTGATTGTTTTTGATCGATGCTGCACTGCTTGCTATATATATATATATATATATATATATATATATATATATATATATATATATATANTATATATATATATATATATATATATATATATATATATATATAATGTATGCACTGTGTAAATTCAAAAGCGGCAAAACTGACTGTTCCCTTGGGATTTAGAGATTTTATTTTGCATTTCCCCCAAATAGATTTGCAACTGCATCTCTCTTCCCGTCAGATGCTGAATTGTGTTCTTGTCAAAATCTGTCCTCCAAACTTCTTTTTAGGCCTCTCAAAGAGCCCACTACCCTATTGTGAACAATGCAGTGCTAAACTTCTCCATGTCATTACAGATTACAGCCGAAATTCATCTATCAAAACCAAAACACGGCCTCTAACTTCTGCCAGACAAGAGCAATGTCCTAGTATAAAGCTGGTATTGTGAATCATTCGGTTGCTAAGGCAGATGCAATAGCGCGTTCTCTGATTTCGCTGAACTATCTGATCAAATGTTTTGCCATTTATTTATTATAACCCTCAACTCCTTGCTGTGAAAAAATGAAAGCTCTATTCCTTTTATTAATTAACTCTTCACCCCACCTTTAAAGAGCTCCGTTTCTCACTGTAATGGAAGAACAGGTACTAAAAGAGCTGAGAGGGTAAAATCTTGTGGTTTCTGTGGCTAAATCAATATATTTTTTTCTCATTTTACAGAGGTTCCATCAGCTGTAGTATTCAATGAGGTGAGGCCTTTCTCCACCACTGCTCTGATCCAGTTTGGGGAGCCAGAATCTCTCGGAGGCGTTCCTGTTCTGAAGTACAGAGCTCAGTGGAGGATGCAGGGCAGGGGCAGTTGGATACAGAAGGTCTACGAGGTCACGGATGGTAAAAGCACATTTAAAAACAGACCTAATAGTATTAGAATAGGTTTTATGATTCTTTGTCAATATTTTGTCAAACTTAAAAAACTGGTGAAATAAAAAAAATTAAAAAAAGTTAGTTCCTCTCAATAAATGGATTAAAAAAACAATACAGACCTTATACTTTTACCGTAATAAACCACTTCAAGGTTTAATTAGAATTCTGCAGAAATTAGACCAAATTGTGTAATTATCTAACAGTTATGTCTATAGTTGCCGAATAAATCATCACAGTAATGCTCTATTGCTGAATGTAAAATAAGTGAAATGTTTTAAAGTGAATGAGTTCAGAAAAAAACACTGCATTGCTCAATGTTATTGGGTCACAATTCGTTAGATCGATAAATACTTAAAAATGGAAGAATTTGAAAAAAGAAATTACACATTGTAACTGAGTATGGTTTAGTATTGTAGTATAGTATTTCTGTGTTAAATATCTTAATATTGAAATAATTATTGTTTATCATAATTTGAAACATAATAACCTTTTACTCAAATTCGATGCGTGTGTTAAAGAAACATCTGAAAGATGAAATAGAATTTGGTAATTTCTGTATTAATTGCATATATTTTAGCTCTTATGATAATCAATTACTTGACAAATGAATTCTTTGCTTGATTGTGGAGTATTAGGCCATTGTCACTATTATTCTTGTTTTCATATAGGGTGTATCTGGAAACGGATCAATCAGTTGTTTAAATGTTTTTTTTAGGTAGAAATGAGAATCCAACTAATCTGTATCTGCCTCTGTGCCAATTCATTATGCATGTATTGTTGGAACAGGGGATTTTCTTTATTGTTGTGCTCATCAAAATTATCAAGGTGTTCTCAACAGAAATTGCACCGTCTTTGATAATGTAACAGGATTCATCAATGAAGTGACAATAACGGGCCTGAAGCCAGAGAGCCGCTACGAGGTGAAGCTTTCAGCCATTAATGGCAAGGGTGAAGGAGAGAGCAGCCCTGTCCAGTTCTTCAAGACGGAGCCTGTTCGTAAGTGCACAGTTTACAACACAGTGTGAAGCTTTTATCCACTTTTAGTTTTTTAAACCTATAACCTGCAGAAGATTTCTATAAACACATTATTGGCTGGTGTCAGAGATGTTTGGACAGTTTAACTTATAAAAAGGTTTAATTTAAAAGACATTTTCAGTCCTTTCTTCTCAACATGTCTGCAGGAATTTTGTCAGCTGCTGTATTTGTCATTTTCACTTCTCCACAGGAACATGTAATCATCTAGGAAATCATAAAGCAGTTATTTAAAACCATCCTTATATATTTATTACTCCGATAATTCCTTGATGAATTTGTCAGAAAGCATAGTTCCTTACCAAAGTAGTATTTTCACATAAATTATTGTCCAGTTTATAACAATAGGATTTGATTTCCCTCCTCTTTAATGCACCACAGAGCGACTGAAGCCCAACCAGTAGCATAGTACTGAAGATATTTTGGCATTCAAACATTTCTTACCAGTCTGGGAAGGATTTACTGAAGTGAAAAGTTGATCTGTTTTAGTAGATTCATTCAAAAGTTGAAACTTGTATTTTTTAAAGGATTATCACACCCAGTTCATATATCTAAGGCTTTATCAGTTTGCATCATGATGATTGTCGCTTGCAGCTATCCATCCATCCATCAATTTTCGATTACACTTATCCCTATTGGGTCGAGATAGGTGCTGGTGCCTATCTCCAGCTATCAATAGGCGAAAAGGAAGGTTACACTGTGGACAGGTCACCAGTCCATCACAGAGACAAAAAGGACAAACAACCATTCACGCACACACTCACACCTAAGGAGAATTTAGAGAAGCCAATTATAATGTTTTTGGACTGTGGGAGGAAGCTGGAGTACCCAGAGAGAACCCATGCATGCTCAGGGAGAACATGCAAACTCCATGCAGAAAGACCCCGGTCCGGGAATCGAACCTAGAACATTCCTGCTGCAAGGCAGCATTGCTACCCACTGCGCCTCTGATTTCTCTAAAAGTTTGAATATACTACAATACATTAAGACTGAAGCTGAAGTGTCATGCAACACTCTAAACATTGATGGAGGAAACGGCTGACTTGGCAACCTGGCAAGTGAAAAACTCCACAACATAGATAGGTCACAGAGGCTAATTGCTTAACAAGCTAGCTTCTCACAGAGGACTTTATCCTACACAATGCTGGAAACGCAAGTGGAAGGAAGAAGTGTTTCAGATTTAGGATCAGAGGTCAAAGAGCACAGGTTTATTCATGTGTTAAGCCACTCCTAACCTAAATGCAACATCCCAATTCTGGTCCAATATTCTGGTGTTAAGGGAAAAAATAACTGGATTTTGGTTTAGTGGTCCTATTTTTAAATGTAATATAATTTTGCTTTGTCCAACATCTGGACAAGGAATATAATAAGGACGGAGTCCATGTTGCTTAACGTCCAGTATTATGTTTCCAATAAGTGATGATTATGGAGGCCTGTCATCTAATGGTGTTGGTCCCCTGGGGTTTTTCAAATGTATAGTCTATAGCAATATTCCCTTTAAAAAAATAAAAAGTCTGACAAACTGACCAAACAGTAGATGCTTCGATGCAGTAAATCATGCAAAAAGGTGCCGAACTTAACAGGGCATGCACATAATTATAAAAACATTTATATTGGTAAAATTACAACTATGACTAGTGTATTTTCTTTCCTTAGCTCTAATTGAACAATGATAACATCCAGTAAAAGTACAACCAGGAAGTCAAATTAAAATAGAATTTTTCCTTTGAGGATTTGCATTTGTCTAAAAAAACGTTTACATGGTCTGCTTATTTATTGGGATACACCTGTAGAAGGCTTTTCAGTGCTCTACACTGGATCTGAGAGATGAATTTGTTCAGGTGTGTAGATTTGTGTGTTTAGGGTTTGGATGGTTGATTTTAGCTCTGGGTCTGTTGTTCCTCTGCTGGTACAGATGCTGATACTACAGGTTGTGTCACTAGTGTGCAAAGTTTATGAAAAGTAGCATCAAAAGTAACCAGTGATACTGCTATGTTGAAGTATTTTACAAATAAAATCTAAGTTATGATGTTATACCTTTTTTTTTTATATGTTATCCTATACCTGATGACTTTATTTGTTAGCTATCATGTTATGCTTATTGGTGTGGCTTTGACTTGCATTGAATCCAGATCCCATGCTTTAGTGTTTACCGCCCTCTGTTGGTTGGCGAGAGGTATTGGCTCCATGCTGTGTTTCTTTCATTTCCTTTTTTTGAAATCACTAATTTTTATATCCATTTGTTCATTTTCTCTGTTATGTTCTTCAGCCCCCATTAGCAGAAGTAAGTGATCCATCCGTCTTTATTCAGATTTAGTTTTAGCTCTAGTTAATCTTCATTCCAGGGACAATAAAATAAAAACCATTTGCTCTGTTTTGTAGTAAATGTTTATTGAAATAAACCTATATGCTTTATTGGTGATTGCATTTGTAGTATTCCTCTAATTTACATAAAATCAATTTAAAACATATTTTCTGATAATACGATACAATTTAGAGTTGAGTTTATTTTTGTAAAAGGAAAAGGAATCCACTTCTTTTAATGCTACCCTTTTTTGGCAAACTGCCAGAAATTAGACTTTGCATATTTTCAATAAGTTCATATTGTTTAGATTCAGGTGGTTATTTGTGTAGAAAACTGATTTTGATTACTTTTTTTGTTTTATCCTGTCTCTAGACGACCTTTTTCATTTTTTCACTGACAGCACAGGTTTGTTTAGTAGTGGTGATGATAGAAGTAGCTGTAGCTGTTTCTTTCTCCTTAGAGGAGAGCCTAGTCCCCCTCCTGCTGATTAGAAACATTTGTAGTAACTTTAGGGCATTGCAGAAGCTGATAAGCTCCTCCTGCATCTGTGACCTCACATGTCCCCATTTTCACTGCAAACTCCTCTGTGGGACATGAACAGATTTTATTTTACTTTCATCCCATGAGTTTTATCTGATATATCCAAATATGAATAATAATGTAATTCTGGTTTGGAGCTTGCAAACTAATTGGCTTTGTGAAACTCTGATGAATTAACAGGAAATATCTATATTTCAAAAGCTGCACATTTATGCCCCTGGTTTCAGCTGCTTTGGGGATAAGTTTTGGGAATATTTGCATTTGGATTAGGCCCATCAGCATTGATTAATCTGCTGCCTTGTGAAGGATTAATTCTGCTAAATCAGGATGTAAAGTTGTTTGATGTCTGTTGCACTTCTGTCATTCAGAACCCAAACAGAGGAATTAAAGTGCATTTTAGCTGTATGTTTATAGCTTTGCTGTCATTTAGTCTGTTTAGTTTGTCTTAGGGTCACCAAGTTTTTTCTCTTCTTTACTTTTACCTCTATTTTGTCATCTGCTGCAAAGACCTGCAAAGGTTTTCAGAGCTGTTTTGTATTCGCTTGTCATCTTACCACCACAAAGAACCTTGTGTTGTATTCAGACGTTATGAAATAAATCAACAATTGGCTGCAGAAAAGTTTAAATTTAGTGAAAAATAGATTTTATAATTGTTGTTTAATGAAATAAACATTTTTTGTGTGTATTTGTAATCAACCTGAGTGTGTGGAAATCTCCTTTTACTGAAATTAGTCTTTAAGGGTATATTTTACCCATGCATCTTTACAAATAATATGCTAATGTGAAAGTCATTGTAACACATATACTGTATCCATTCAAGTTGTAAGACATATGTAGCCTCTGATGGGGGTTTCACTGGATTTCATGCCAGTGAAGGGAAATGCATGCCACACTACGGTTCCACTTCCTGCCTATTCTTTACTGTGTCAAAAAAAAAAAAATTGGATATTTATAAGTTACTGGTTGATAATTTGACAAATTATGAAGAAATAGCTCTGACCATTTTTGTAAGGCAATGTATGACCTTGAAGTGTGTCCTTTTAATAGTTGAATTACTCACATGTCATTTCATGTGCCTGTACCTGTCATTTGACTTGCATGGTGGTGATGATTTCTTCAACTCTGCAGAAGGTAACTTAGCCTGAAGTTTTCTTGGATGATAGTTCCTAATCTCCGCTGATGAATAAGAAAATAAAAAAAAAACTCATTTTGTGTTTTTACTCTCACATCTAATACATTAATCAATGTGGGAATCTTGAGAAAGAAAAAACTGAGGGAAAACCAGAGCTCTTAATGGTGCTGTACTACTATTGATAGTCTGCCACATGAGGGATGGTAGCTCTTTGTCAGTCGTACGGATTACAGTAAATCAGTAAAGTATGTAATGAAATATCTTTTTCATAATTACAAAGAATCATTGTTCATTTTAATCCACTATATATAATCCTGCTGTCATCCCTTTCTCTCTGGTTTTCATTCAAACTGGTCCAATAATTTGATAATTAATTTTCCATATTGTTGTTTCCACATTAACCCTCTAAGATTCATTCACTACAGTTAGATTCACTAACTTGATCTGAATTTTAGATGCAATAATATGACAGCTGTTAAGATTAACCTAGGTGAAAAGCTTTATTATTAAGTTGAACAAAATGATTTGGGTTACAGAGATGGATTTATTTTCATGTAGAAAATGACCAATTTATTTAGGCTCTAACTTTTGGAATTAAGAGAACTGTTTAGATTATTAGTTAAACATTTGCTCTGTAAAAAGTACAAAGAAGATTTTGGCAGTGTCATTAACTTTTATCTGAGATCGGGTAGTTCAAAACAATTATACATTTTTTAAATTGAAAGGATCTTGAAAGCAATGTTTTATGAGATTATCTTAAAGGGCCCCTGCAAGAGCTTTCAATAAGTCAAGTGTTTAGCTCATCACAAAGTTGCCTAATTTAGGTCTTTTGCATAATGAGCAACTCGCTGACACTGATCTCCATATTTTTCCAAGCTCTGTTTTAACCAAAGCATTTTCTGTGTTTTTAATTATATTGGCACATTTATAAGAATCTAACCTTTTAAAATTCAAGTTCTTTTATTTAATGGAGGGGAGTTGTTAACACCATTATTATATTGTTTGTTTTAATCACCATTGACTTTATTGTTACAGCTATGAAATCCCTTTAAAATAGATATAGCTACAGTGATTTATTTTCTTAGGTTAATCAATGTTGTTTTCAACCACATCTTATTAGGTTGTACAATGACAGGTTTTTTCTTGCATTGAGCTGGATGCTAAGGGAGGCTATAACTATTTGGAGACATACAGCAAAGAGTTGCATCTTGGGAGAAATATGCCTCCATAACAACCTATCTTCATGCCAAACAGCTCTTTGGAAGACATTTTTAGTTTTTGTTAAATTATATTAGTGAAAAAAAAGATTTAAAAAAAAAGTTTTGAAAGATTTTCACACATTTTTGCCAGAAGTGCCAATAAATGTGGGCAGCACTATATATGGCAGAGATAGATTCTGTATTATAGCAACTGTATTTTGTGTCTTTTTGAAGATTTAAACATTTTAAACAACCAGGATATGAAGACCTAAAATATCTAGCATCATATTTAAATTCTTAAAATGTTCATATATCTAAATAAATACTGTTCAGCCATACAAAAAATGTTGAATGCTCTGAATTTATGACTCCTAAGAAACTGGATATTTCATCCCAGCTGGTCCCTTTAGCATTCTTTACACCGCTGACTGTCACTCAGCAACTGCAGCAATACAAGGCAGCTTGGATGAATCAAATAAGCATGTGTTTGTGGGTCATTTGCTAATTAGTGTGACTTGACACATAGCATCTTGGGACAAGTGATTAAAGGTCAACTGAATAAGAGAACAACAGCAGGAAGAGTCTCTAGTATCAAACTTTAATTTAGTGGTCAGCAAACATAATTACCTCTGACCTTTCTTACAAATCAAACTTCATATATGTTTTTATTTATTTATTCGTTTGTTTGTTTGTGTGTGTGTGTGTGTGTGTGTGTGTGTGTGTGTGTGTGTGTGTGTGTGTGTGTGTGTGTGTGTGTGTGTGTGTGTATGTGTGTGTGTGCCTTTAGGAAATCCAAACCCTCCTAAACTTGAGGGATCACTGCAGCCTAAAGGTAACTCCCTCAAAGTCAGCTGGATTAAGCAGGATGATGGCGGATCTCCCATCCTGCATTACCTGATCCGCTACAAACCAGTGAGTTAACTATTTAGTTATGTTAAATTTATAAGCTTTGAAAAATCCTACTCCACTTCAGGTTTAACATAGATCACACTGAAATAGGCAATGTGGTTAATATTAACATTTATGCTTTTAAGATAGTACCCATTCATAATGGCTCTTCCCCATTTCATATCCTAGGTAATACGTAATCCCATCTTTCAAAGCAACAGCCTTTTCTTTTTTAGGGAAATTTTACCGGACGATTGCAAATGCACCAGCTATGAGCAATACTCATCATCTACTTTGATAGTGTTTAGGTTATAATGATCTTTGTCCTTAGATCCAGGCGTCAGTGTGGAAGCCCGAAATCCGGATGCCCAGTGGCAGTGATTACGTCATCCTGCAGGGATTAGAGTGGGACACAGACTATGATGTGTATGTGGTGGCTGAGAACCAGAAGGGGAAGTCCCCACCTGCCACCATGTCCTTCAGGACATCTGCAGAGCCAGAGGCCATCCCAGGTAACCTCTTAATAAACCTGGCTCTGTCCAGGTATAATGTGAAGCCAAACCCTAACTAGAGAGAAAAATACAGCTTTGTGAAAAAACACATGTTTTCCTACAGATTTCTTCTTTTTTTTAATGGATTTTAATATCAGACAAAGATAACCAGAAGGATTTAAAAAAAAACAGTTTTCTGATAATAAATTAGTTTAAATAGATCTTCCCATAAAAACTTGGCTTTATGTGAAAATATATTTTCACCTTAATCCTGATAACTGGTTGTGGTGGGCAAAGGCTTGGCGGCCATGATTGTTTCACATCATGCGGAAGAAATTTGTGCTACTTTGTTGAATGGCTGTAATTTAGTTACAGTAATTTGATGGTTTCGGACTATGAAAAGTCAATTTAACGTGAACCCATGTCATCTAAACCCTAAACTCTGACTTGACTGAACTTTTTGGATGTGAAATTGTTGGTGTGCTCATTGTTCTGCTGTATAACATAATATGATATAACCTAAATAGTCTTTATTTTGATTTAACAAACTGGTAGCCCGAATTTTCTTTTGGTACTTTTCTGTTAGATAGCAGAATGATGATCCCAATAAGCCTGGCGAATTATCTAGGCGGTTTAAGCAGCATCAGCCATGGACCACCACACTACCACACAGGGCCAGGTTGGGTTTAACAGCCTTTGTCTCTCAGTTTCTTTGTCTGACAGTAAAACTTACTTAATGATATGAAACAGAAAAACAAAAACAAAAGTAAACTTTAAAGGCCGAATGCTTTCTTGCAGCAGCTGTAGACTTCCCTGATATAGGTCAGCCAAAAAAAGAATTTTCATTTCCTGTTTTTGGGCGTGACTGAATAAGCTTAAGTTTGTGTTTCACGGAGGATGTTTTCATCAATTGCTTCCTGTAGCCTCTATATAATTTTAACCAAGTAAATAAAATAGTTTGTATCTTTTTTAATGGAGTCTGTTAAATAACTGCTAATTAACACGGCTAGAGAGGTCCTAACTGCAGCTGAAGCGGCATTTTACTAACAGTAGAAAACCCACACAGCCTGTCAAATTGCCTGTATGTGCTAGACCCTGTCGGGTGCTTCGCTGAAGTATCGCAACAGGCCATTATGTCTTCCTTTCACTTTTTTTTTTTTTTTTATTCATTTCCCAAACTAAAGCATTTTCCACTCACTGCCACTGAGTCACCATCCAGTCAACACGGTGTGGATTGTTGTTTTTTTTCTCCCTTTGTGATGTGCTTTTGCTTTGATGTGTTGCTGCCTTTTTTTTCTTCCCTCAATGCGAGAAATCTGTTTTCTTATTTTTTGTTATTTTTCACTTTTGGTTTTCAGACCTGAAGCATTTTTTCACTCTCTCTCTCTCTTCCTCTGTTTTCCCCACCCTTCTCTTTTTTTCCTCTTTATGTGCTTTCATTTCCTCCCTTTATTCTCCTTTTCTGTTTTCATCTCCTCGCTCATTGTTCCTGCTCTCTCTCCTGATCCTGGATATTCGTGTGGTGGGGCCCACGTGAACATTTTCGTCCTGACCTGTTTGCATTTTGGTCTGGTTTGTGATGTCTCAACCCACAGCCACTCAGGGCAGCTCATCCGTGACATGCACTTTGGTATCACTCATCTCGTCCCTCATCGCTGTTCTCCTGCTATCATAGTTCACGTCTGGGATTTACACCTTAACAGTAGAGGAGAGCATGCCTTTTCTCTGGCCTGGCTTTCTCTCTGGACGTTTTTTACCACTTATAACAGACTTTCTCCATGACAGATCTGTTTCTGTCATGGTGGAGAAACGGTTGTTGTGTGGTTTCAGAACAGACCAGACAGATTTAATGAACCAAAGGCAGTGGAAAACCTTCGCCTCCCACAGATTCACTCTGCTCAGCATTAGCACAGATAGTCGTCAGCTCTAGACAACAGAGAGAAGTGCAAGTTTACAGTTATGAACAGAGGTGGACTTATAATAAAAGTTGTTTTTTTTTTTAAAGTAGCACAGAGTCGAGTAAGAACCAAGTACTGAACCTTTCTGTTTACATAAACACTGCATTATATTTCTTCATGGTTCATAAAGTTGTCGCTTAATGTTTGGATCATTAACACTAATAGCCCTGGGAAAAAAACAAAAAAAAACTTTTTAACTGTTTATATTGGCAGAGATTCTCAAAATGTTTACTGAAATACAGAACATTTATTTTTGTGCAGATGATTACATGTTTTCTGGTGCAAATGTTTTTAATCTGATGTCCACACAAATGACTTTATGTTTTTATATATTTATATTTGGAAGGTGCTTTATTCAGCTACAGTGCTGTAAAAAAGTCCCCCTCCTCCTAACAGATTTATTCTGCTGTATCTGTTTTTTGCCGTTTAAGTATTTCAGAACATCAAAGTAAAATGCTAAAAATCCAGTGGGAAAAAAATTTCCCTCTTTATTTTAATCTTAAAACACCAGCAATTAAGTAGTTTTTGATCAATTTTAGCTTAAAAATGCCTGATTACTGCCAGACCTGCAGAATCCATAAACAACTCAAACAGAACCTGTATGACAACATGAAGTAGGCTATACTTTCTTACAGCACTCTATCTTTTGTAACCTAGCGGACTTATTAACTTTAGGCATGGGTCTGTTTGTTCATTAGAGAAGGATATGCATTAAAATATGTTTCACGGGCAACAAATTATGTATTATTCTTACACAAAGTGATACATCAACAACCATTTTTTACCAACCGTGTTCGAATCAACCAAACAAAAAGCCTGTAAGTATTTGACAAATGATTGATAAACAAAAAAAACAAATCAACAACTGTCAATTAACATGTTTGTACTAAGTAAAATTTTAATCTGAACTAGAGCTGTGAAACGTCACTTAAGGGTAAGAAATAACATAAGGAAGGTATTAATGGGTGATAGAAACACAAAATTATTTTTGAATACTGCTCCTCTGGCCTAAAACAATGTTATTGTACCAGAGAAAGTGGGAGATTTAATATGGCTTTCTACATTTAGAGTAACACAGCTTGGCACCTCCCCCACCTGTTGCTTTAGCGTGTCAATAAATTGCCACATGAAAAAGGTAGCAAAAATTGCATTGATGTGGACTTTAAACTTCTCCATGTATTACTGTTATTAGGTTGACAACATTTTACTGAATGGGGCATGTCTGTTAAGCAATTAAATAGTTAATATAAGTTTACAATAAGTATAATATTATGCACAATAAACACAGGAGTATTACTACATTTACGAGGTGCTTATTCTTTATTATTTGTTCAAGTCTGTGTATCAATATTCAAAAGACTGAATAAACAGGAGCTATTATACGTAATCTTATTGTAGTAGGTTAATCAATGTTTTATCATTTCAACTGTAAAAATGTTGCTTTTCTGATTACAATATATGTTTTTTTGTGACAAACCCATCATAATCTGGTGTTTTTACCGAAGGTCATCAAATCCCATACTGACCCTTGCCTAATTCAGCCAATAATCTAAATCCCAGTCATATAAAACATTCAGCTGTCTGTAAAAAAAAAAATAAAAAAATTATTCCAGGTATCAAAATAACAAGTTTGTGTGTCTCAATGCAGGTCTGTCCAAGCAAAGCAATGTGTAATGTTAGGAGTGTTAGTGGCTGTTTGTAAGTAGTCATAATGTTATGGCTGATTGATGTACATATTTAAATACTGTATAGGAATTCTGTTACAACTAAGGATAGTTTAAGGAAAAGAATAAAGAATTCAGTTTTTGTTGTTATATTTTCGGAAAATGTTACCCTGCATGTAACCTACAAAACACTGTAAACTCTGTTTTTCTAATATGAAATAAATAGGTTGAAAATAGATAAACTTAAATATTTTATTTTATTTATTTTTTTTACATAAAAACATTTTCTTTGGTGTAAAATTCTCAACATTCATCTTAATAAGCACCACTAACACACAAACTGACGACTTGTATGTCTAAAATCAATTCAAGACGACCCGATTATCAGTAAATACTTTGCTGCAGGTACGTTTTCTATTTCTATTAAAGTTCCTGTAGAATTTTAGCTCTAATTAATCTATCATAACTGAGTCGGGCTCCAGTTTTTTGTATTTGTGTTTCATTGTGTTTCGTCTTTTGTCTGGCAGATTTGGGTGATGATGGACCTTTCTCCATGAACATCATGCTCTGGGCAGGAATCCTAGTTGTAGTATTTATACTCCTGCTGCTAGCAGTGGATGTCACTTGTTATTTTGTCAACAAATGTGGCCTTATCATGTGCCTCTGTGGAAAATCAGGCACAGGGACTAAAGGGCACACTTTGGAGGAAGGAAAAGCTGCTTTTGTGTGAGTATGAAAGATAACATTCCAGTTCATTTTGCTAACTTGTATTATTCTATATTATATAAATGAGCATGTTTTTTTGTACCTTCTTTTGGTTTTGTACTTATAGTTATAGAGTAATATTTTTTTTTTAATTGTTCTACAAATTTTATTTTTTCTAATTTACTGCTGATCAGATTGAAGAAAATTAAATAAATTAATTGCTTTCAGCAACATAGGCACTCACCAAAATGAAATAAAAGAAAAAAAATGCATTGATATTTAACTTTTTTTCCCTTAAATACTATTCAGTTGAATTGGTTTGTACTACCCCCGGAAATTGCTGCTTGTGTCATAAGAATGTATGTACTACTGACTCACCTAGAGTGTGTAGTGATGGGGTCGAAAGGCCTGGAATCACAGCTCTCATCACATCTTCCTACAGCGCATTAAGGCTGCAAAATAAGATGTCAGTCATCTCCTGCCCGTGTACCAATGTATCTGTCTTCATATTGTAGGAAAGATGAGTCCAAAGAGCCCATAGTGGAAGTCAGAACAGAGGACGAGTGCACAGCCAATCACAACGCAGCTGGACCGACGGAGCCCAATGAAACCACGCCGCTCACAAAGCCAGAGTGAGTCAAAACAGACAAATAGCACTGAGCATTTTTAACGCAAAGGTTTTCTCAGCTGTTCAACATTGCACTCCACTTTAAAGAATGGTTTTATTTAACAAACCCTTAATTTGACTATTAAATCTGTTAAAACGTTCCGTTCATTCTTGAGTGGAGTCCACTGGGTTGTGTTGCTTTTCTTTTCCTTTTCCCAGTCAGAGGTGATTACCGTACTTTGTGTTTCTGCTCCAGATGTGGAGATTTTCTGTCTCATTACATAATGGTTGAAGCAATACCAGTAAAAGACACCAAAGGATTTGCTCCTCCTAACTATGGTCAATTCATAAAACCATTTAACAGCCTCAGCAAGTCATCTCATATCAGAAGTCTGAAAAGAAAAAAAAAATACAGAAAAAGGCAGGATAAGATTGTCACTGGTACTGTTTAACCCGTATAGGTGATTCCATGTGGTGCTGTAGTTTCTCGAGAAAGCTGGTGGTTTTTGAAGTCCATTAGTTTATTAGTCAGTGTACTCCATGTTGGTGTGTGTATGGGATGTATCCTTTAATGTTCACTCACAGCATGATGCCCTTTTTTTTTCTTTTTCTTCTTAAGCTTTATAGTTGCTGTTTTTAGTTGCTTTTGTGTGTTTTTGTGAATTTCTGAAGCCAACTAATCCCTCTGCATGCTCTCGTTCGGGTCACCCCTCCTCTGTCACAGTCACCCTGGTGTCTAGTCTGTGTGTCTCTGTTCTCTCCCTGCTCTCTCAGGCTGGTGGCTTCTCTGGCACTGGACACCCCCTCCTCGATAGCCACCAACTCTGACACAGCCACCGCAACAGTTGATCCTGCTCAGGAAAGCCCCTCTAGCGAGACCACCACACTCACTTGCAGCCTGTCCACCCTGGCCAACGAGCCCTCGCCCACCCCTCTAACAGCGCCAGCTCCGACCCCGGAGTCGAACACTGCCCCGCCGACCCCCGTCTTCTCCTCAACTGTCGTAGAAGCGAAAATGGGGCCTTTGCTTGAAAGGGAGGGGATTAAGACCCCAGAAGATAAAGAAAAGACTAACAACCCTTCTCTTACCCCTGAACAGAACAGACCTCAAAAATCTGGAACACCGATACCGCCAAAGCGCAGACACTCTCCTAAACTTGCTGCTCTCAACGCTAAAAATAGCCCACCAGTTTCCCCTCTTGCTACGTCTTCTCCTCCCACTCCAGACACCAAGAAGCCTGCTCCGAGCCCTCCGGTCACTAAGCCCACTCCACAGCCAAACACAGTTGCCTTAAACAAAGAAACGCCACAGCAATCTGCTTCTAATTCTCTTCCAGAACCAAAACCTAAACCTGGTGTTCCAGATTCCACTGCATACAGCTATTCTGCTTTTAATACAGATAGACCTACTGATAATAACATCCCCACATCAAAACCCGCTCCGAGTAAAACTCCTGCAGATATCCCAGATGATGTTGAAGATCCACACGCTGAAAACCCTGCCTCCCTATTGGCAGACGTCCCCTCGCCTTTACCCATCACTCTGATTAATTCAACGGTTCCCAATGACCTCCTCACGCCGGGGTCCGAGCTTTACGAATTAACAGCTCCAAACACAGGGCACAAAAACGCAGATTTAGAGTTAGAGCTGAGAAATGGCACAGGAAGACCCTCACGGCCCCTCTCAGACCTCATAAGCTTAGAGAGCCCATCCGCTGCCCCCTCTCTGCCCAGCGGACACCAAGCAGGCTTCCCTCCCTCAGGCCCTGTTCTGGAGGCTTCAGAGACCCTCAAGACCGCTCCTCCTGTCAACGATGAGTACGGCTCCCTCTAGAGGTTTATCTGTGTGCGTGTGTGTTGGTGTGAAAGTTTGTGTAACTTGTATGCCCATTCATTCACCACCGCATCTTGCCATTGACCACACAATATCAAATATTGTAATGGTAAACTGTGGTAATGACATTGGGGTGAATCTTTCTAGTGGAATGTTATAGATAGAAGTGAACTGATGGGTTGAATTTTATTGCTTGTGTGTGACAGTTATTTATGTTTGCGTCTGAAAAAGATGTAAATCCAATCTCTATAAAAACACAGTTTTTAACAAAGTTAAAAAGGGAAACAGTGGACGACCAGTTTTTTAGAGAGGGCAATTTAATAAAGAGTATTAAGATTCCCAAATTTTTATAGTCTTCTCTTAAATCTTAAAACTATCAACCATATTAGATATTATTATATTATCCTGAGCTACTGACCTGAAATAGATATGGACTCATCAATGGTTTCCAAGCTCTGATTATAAAACCGATTTGCTGTATTCTCTTGAAGAGCTGCAGTTAGCAGTATTTACATTGAGAATAAATAATATTTAAAATAATTACCAGATTAGTGGTTAATATATTTTTAATTATTACTACAGCATTACCTAGACCAGAGAGTTCCTGAAAGATGCTACTTTAACAGGAATTTTAGGAGGCATGTAAACTTATGTTTCCTTATATTTTAAATGACAACATAAGAATTTTATCAGAGATGTGTATCTGTGTAAAAAAAATAAGTGAAATAAAGGCATTTCCTATTTTTATATCTAATTTCAGCTAAATAGAGGCCTCTTTGTCACCAACCTGAGTGTGCATTTGCTCAGGTCATGTTCGTATCAAGAACTTGTAAAGAATCCATGTATAGAAAGCATCACCTCAGTAGCAACATGATGCATTTTATATTTCAAGCTGGCTTATCAATAATGAGACAATGCATCATCTCAGGCTTTAATTTGATCCCTTCCAGCATTCCCTCCATCTTTTATCCAGGAGCGAACAGAGGCTTGATTGCTGTTTCTACCTTCAAGCTCCTGAAAGAAAAGCTAACAAATGTTCTTTAAAATGATCAGGGATATTTTGCTACAAGCCAGGGGCCTATTTATTCTAATATTATCACTCAGAAGTAAAACTAAACTGATTAATTCCTACTTTTTACATTTAGAGTTTGGTTTTAGGGAAGAGTCAGTTTGGGATGTGGGTATGTTATTATCTGTTATTTTTTATCAGACTGTGTCAAGGTGGTGAAGAAATATGTAAGAAGACTGCAGCGTCCTCTTACATATTGGGTAGAGCTGTCATTGAGACTGTGTTTCAATTAACTGTTTGTTTGCTGGGCTATATTCATCACTTTTAACATTCCTAATTCTCAACCTTGTTTTTTTTTCCCACTGCAGGAAGATATTTGCTGATGAGAAAAGCAAACTGGACGAGGGGGACCTACCAAACACCCTGATCACCTCAGCACACAACAGTGTCATACAGACAAACACAGCAGAGAGCAAAGTATGATGGGCCACTGGGAAACAGTAACCCGACTCAGTCATACTTTGCAGCAGCAATGAGAGGAAAAGCTTTTATTTTTAGTGCCCTTAATGCATTTATTGCCACACACCTCCGTTGATCGGTTAGAGCGCACTTGGACTGCTTCCTTTGAATAAATGCTTAACCACACCCAGAGAATTTATCTGTGCTTCATAAGAGATTTATTTATTTTTATTCCTTATTTTATTTAACCACTTTAACCAATTAATTAAAATGCAGCTTACAAGGATCGCCTCGTAAATATGTGAATCTTTAAGCGTGCGCAGTTTAACTACGCAAAAGTACTGGAACATTATGAGAAATGTAAATGTATGAAAAAAGGACTATACATTTAAATATATATATATATA